CAGGAAAGCAAGCCCCACCAATGGGGGACTTGGGGGATCCCACTAGCGCCTCCCCCAGCCTCCCCTCTGATATATTGGGGATATCAGAGCAAACCTAAGCCACAGAGGAGCAGTGGTGGAAGCGTCATCGTGCAACCCGCAGACCCCCCTCCTCCCATTGCCTCCTGATGTTCCAGAAATGACTGGGAGGGTGGCTGACCTGGGCTGTATTTATCAGATGAGTTCAACTCCAAGCCATCATCTGTTCAGTTTAGCCAAAACGGACAAGAACAGCGAGGCACGCAGGAGTCAGGGCACCTTCCCATGAGCTTCTGGGGCTGCTGACCCTGCAGATCTGAGACCTAATCTGAGACCTAATCTCTCCATGGAGGCCCTCCAGCCTGGACCCCCGTTGGCCAGTGGGGAGTCTAATCTCCCGGATCTTAAGAGGGAGATTCTCTGACCCGGTGCTGTTTGGACAAGGCTAGGGAGGACCCCGATGACCCCCCAGTGTGCTTGGATCTCGGGGTTCCACATGCAGCTCTCTCCATTGCCCTCTCCCGGCAAGGAGGCTGTTGAAGGTCAAAGCAGTTGTGGGGGGAGTGGCAAGAAGCCACCCTTCTCATTCTGGCCAGAAACTCGAAGGTGAGGCCCAAGAAGGAGGAAATAGGGCTGGAGAGGAGTTAATCTTTGATGATCAGATAGGCCAGAGGGATGAATGATTAACGTGTGCTGTCTTAAAGGTCAGCAGATGCGGGGAAGGCTATGGTGCAACTTCCCCTTCTGACCAGCAGTGTTGTTGTTATGTTTTTTTAACATGTCCAGGTTCCCCATATTATTACAGTTCCACATCAAGGCCGAGCGCGCCGCCCACCGCCGCCACGGCCTTTGACCATCTGTAGTTGCCATGGGGACAGTGGGAGCCACCGAGGAACAGGAGGGCCGGCCTGGGGCCCCAGAGAGTCACACAAAGGAATCTCTATTTATTACATGAAAAATAACCACAAGTCCAGCATTGCAGCTCACTCCCTGTGTGGCTGATTTAATGAACCATGAAAGACAGGATGGCCTTGGAGAAGGCCAGGCTGTCCTCCAAGACTCCTTAATGAGGGGCAAGAGTCCCAGAGAAAGAGACCAAGTTGGAGGAGAAATGGCCCTGGCTGGTACCCACCAAAGGAGAGACACAGGAGCAGTCGAGGAGCTCCGGGGAGATGGCGGATGGCACCCGCCAGTCCTGAGGGTGCACAAGGGCACCTTCCTTGCTCTGTCAGCGCAACCAGAAACTGTGGACTGTAAGCACTTCCAGCCATAGCCGGTGCCCAGGCTCTCCCCACCAGCCACCCTGAGAGTCACCTCCCTCAGCCTGCCACCAGCCCCAGAGCCAAGGTCAGTGTCCACCTTCTCTGCCCAGCTCGTGTGGCCCTTCCTCCACTCCCTCTGGTCATAGGCGAGGTCTGGGTCAAGTCCATCAGAAACTCCAATTGTCACTGACCATCCTTTGCCTGCTGTTGAGAATGCACAAGGGCCACCCCGGGTTTCCTCCAGCGGGTCATCGCTTGGGCAGCTGCTGTCAGCCAGACCAGCCTGAGGCAGCTCAAGAGAGACATTCCAAAGGGCCCCAGCCCCTGGGAGGTGAGGTGCGGCTCTGTCCAGCAGAGCAAAGCAGAATTGCGGGGACCGCTCCCCCTTCCCAACAGCTCCTGCCAAGCCCAGCTCGCTTCCTGCAGCACAAACCCGCCACAGCCACCGAAGAGACCCTGAGG